TCAAACTGCAGACGAGGATAAAAAGATCAGCAACAAAAAAAAGTTAATCTGAAGATTATTCAAACACATAATCAATCAATCCTCCCGGAATAATGGTAATCCATTGTTTCAAAATGAACATAAGTTTCTCTCTCTCACACACACACACACACACACACACACACACACACACACACACACACACACACACACACACACACACACACACACAGGGTTTAACCTTCTTTTCAGATTACATGAGTCAAACTGATGTTCTGATTTTGTGAAAACCTTTATAATCTCCAAAACTCTGAAGCTGCGTCATCGTTTTATTAAGGTGTGTGTGTGTGTGTGTGTGTGTGTGTGTGTGTGTGTGTGTGTGTGTGTGTGTGTGTGTGTGTGTGTGTGTGTGTGTGTGTGTGTGTGTGTGTGTGTGTGTGTGTGTGTGTGTGTGTGTGTGTGTGTGTGTGTGTGTGTGTGTGTGTGTGTGTGTGTGTGTGTGTGTGTGTGTGTTGAAGTGGAAACAGAGGTAGCAGAATGAGACGTGTTCGTTATGATTGAATCTGAAGTAAAGAGGAAAGTCTTCTTGATGAACCTGATCCATAGAATCCAGATCTGTGCACGCGTTCAGATCAAATCCCCGTCTCACGCTAAATAATGTGAGTTCCTGCAACTTGACCGGAGGAACAGAAACCTCCTGACTTCACAAAGTACCGATGGTCATATTAAAAGATTTAACAAACATTTAGGAGAATAAATACGCATATGTTGAGACAGAATGTGTCTTATTTGTGGACAGACAATCCTAATATTTGGGGGAGAAAATCTTATATTTTCATCATCATTTAAATCATCATATCTTTACGCAACTTTTACAAATCTCTTTCGAGAAAAACGACGAAACATTTTAGACTAAAATTTTGTGTAAATATTCAAACCAAAAGTTACAGTTTTTCACGAAAATAGTTGTATACATTTAGATCAGTTTAACTCAAACTCATAAGGTGCGGGGGGTCGGGTCTAACCCCTCACACAGAAACATCTTATATTTTCTGAACCTTTCCTTTCCCCCTCTGCCTGAAACAACGCTTTGGGATTCTAGACGCTGCAGACCGTTTACATGCACTAACACCTGGAGAACACCACAGGAGAGGGAACAGGAGAGTAGAGGGAACAGGAGAGGGAACAGGAGAGGGAACAGCAGAGGGAACAGGAGAGTAGAGGGAACAGCAGAGGGAACAGGAGAGGGAACAGGAGAGTAGAGGGAACAGCAGAGGGAACAGCAGAGGGGAACAGCAGAGGGAACAGGAGAGTAGAGGGAACAGCAGAGGGAACAGGAGAGTAGAGGGAACAGCAGAGGGAACAGCAGAGGGAACAGGAGAGTAGAGGGAACAGCAGAGGGAACAGGAGAGTAGAGGGAACAGCAGAGGGAACAGCAGAGGGAACAGGAGAGTAGAGGGAACAGCAGAGGGAACAGGAGAGTAGAGGGAACAGCAGAGGGAACAGCAGAGGGAACAGCAGAGTAGAGGGAACAGCAGAGGGAACAGCAGAGTAGAGGGAACAGTAGAGGGAACAGCAGAGGGAACAGCAGAGGGAACAGCAGAGGGAACAGCAGAGGGAACAGCAGAGGGAACCCCATGAGGAACAGCAGAGGGAACAGCAGAGGGAACAGCAGAGCAGAGGGAACAGCAGAGGGAACAGCAGAGGGAACCCCATGAGGAACAGCAGAGGGAACAGCAGAGGGAACCCCATGAGGAACATGGCCTCTGAAGAGTGAGATAAAGTCTGATATCTTGTTAGAAAAAGCTACTTGTCTCTTAGTTGTGATTTATCTACTTTGTGTTAAATCAGCGAAGCTGTTCACGATTCAAGTCAATAAATATTACGTTTTAAGTCATTCAGTTTTTTTGCAAAAGATCTGAGGTTTTTCTTCAAGAAAAGTTCATTTGAAAGGAAAAGTCAGAATATTGGTTTGTTGATTTCTAAGTGGAACAACGTGTGACTGGATTTGTTGTTTTGTTTGTTTTTGATTCACAACATCTGTATAATCTGTTTGTTTAAAACAATATCTTCCTTGAGGGTTAACACGCGCTCCAATGAGTCAGAGATCCAGGGGAACTGATAGCTACCAGAGGAAACAAACAACAACAAAGACACATCAGGGGACAAGACCAGAAAGAAAACAACAACAAAACAATCAATTCAAATGAACGACTGAAGGCACTGAACAACAAACAAACTGGCTTTACGAGATGTAGAGGGTCTCTACTGTTTCAATGTGAGCTTCAGTATTATGAAGTCTTCAACACGAGGCCGTGTCTTTCCGCCGTACACTTTTTGATTTGAGAAAAGTCCAAGATTTGTATTAATATTTGTAGTTTAATATTCTCTCACTGCCACGAAGCAGAATATATTGACACTGTTAGACTCTCTCAGTTTGTTATGAACATAAGATCATACTTCATGTTTATTATTCATTATTAGTATTGTGTTATAACCTGGTGACGTCACCGGCAGCTCAGAGTAAATCAGCTGTTAGAGGAAAAGTCAGTTTGTGAAATTAGGGCCAAGTTAGTCTAATCCTGCTGCTGGCAGGGAGAGTGTGTGTGTGTGTGTGTGTGAGTGTGTGAGTGTGTGTGTGTGTGTGTGTGTGTGTGTGTGTGTGTGTGTGTGTGGTGTGTGTGTGTGTGTGTGTGTGTGTGTGTGTGTGTGTGTGTGTGTGTGTGTGTGTGTGTGTGGTGTTGTGTGTGGTGACTGTATGTGTGTGTGTGTGTGTGGTGTGTGTGTGTGTGTGTGTGACTGTATGTGTGTGTGTGTGTGTGTGTGTGTGTGTGTGTGTGTGTGTGGTGTGTGTGTGTGTGTGTGTGTGTGTGTGTGTGTGTGTGTGTGTAGTGTGTGTGTGTGTGTGTGTGGTGTGTGTTGTGTGTGTGTGTGTGTGTGTGTGTGTGTGTGTAGTGTGTGTGTGTGTGTGTGTGTGTGTGTGTGTGTGTGTGTGTATGTGTGTGTGTGTGTGTGTGTGTGTGTGTGGTGTGTGTGGTGTGTGTGTGTGTGTGTGTGTGTGGTGTGTGTGTGTGTGTGTGTGTGTGTGTGTGTGACTGTGTGTGTGTGTGTGTGTGTGTGTGTGTGTGTGTGTGTGTGTGTGTGTGTGTGTGTGTGTGTGTGTGTGTGAGAGAGAAGGTAAAATGGTCAACTGGTTTTAGAAAGCAATTAGAGGAATCTGTTGATCAGAGATAATTAAAGCAAATGTAAACTTTAATCTGTTTTTATCTTTTTATTGTGATGACGTCACAGATTCACTGAAAGGAGATTAAAGATATTAAAATGTTTAAATAGACCGAAAATGAGAAACTGTTACGTTTTCATTATTAATTTTTAATAATAATGAAAATAACTCTTTAAATGTTATTTTGTGGATTCAAAACAGAAATACTAAATATTCTTATATTTATTTATTATAATTAAATGAAACCGTTTTTATTATTTAAATGGTTTTGTCAGACTGAAGACGTCCTGTGTGTTATATCTTTAAAACACACAAACAGTCTCTCTCAAACCCTCTGAGTCTGCAGCGGATCAAACGTTTCATTTACAATCATTTGTTCTGATGGCAATACACCTGTGTAATAATACATGCTAATAGTGTGTAATAATACATGCTAATAGTGTGTAATAATACATGCTAATAGTGTGTAATAATACATGTTTAAAGTGTGTAATAATACATGTTTAAAGTGTGTAATAATACATGTTAATAGTGTGTAATAATACATGCTAATAGTGTGTAATAATACATGCTAATAGTGTGTAATAATACATGCTAATAGTGTGTAATAATACATGTTTAAAGTGTGTAATAATACATGCTAATAGTGTGTAATAATACATGTTTAAAGTGTGTAATAATACATGTTAATAGTGTGTAATAATACATGCTAATAGTGTGTAATAATACATGTTTAAAGTGTGTAATAATACATGTTAATAGTGTGTAATAATACATGCTAATAGTGTGTAATAATACATGCTAATAGTGTGTAATAATACATGCTAATAGTGTGTAATAATACATGTTTAAAGTGTGTAATAATACATGTTTAAAGTGTGTAATAATACATGTTAATAGTGTGTAATAATACATGTTAATAGTGTGTAATAATACATGCTAATAGTGTGTAATAATACATGCTAATAGTGTGTAATAATACATGTTAATAGTGTGTAATAATACATGTTTAAAGTGTGTAATAATACATGCTAATAGTGTGTAATAATACATGCTAATAGTGTGTAATAATACATGCTAATAGTGTGTAATAATACATGTTTAAAGTGTGTAATAATACATGTTTAAAGTGTGTAATAATACATGTTAATAGTGTGTAATAATACATGTTAATAGTGTGTAATAATACATGCTAATAGTGTGTAATAATACATGCTAATAGTGTGTAATAATACATGCTAATAGTGTGTAATAATACATGTTAATAGTGTGTAATAATACATGTTTAAAGTGTGTAATAATACATGCTAATAGTGTGTAATAATACATGCTAATAGTGTGTAATAATACATGCTAATAGTGTGTAATAATACATGCTAATAGTGTGTAATAATACATGTTTAAAGTGTGTAATAATACATGTTTAAAGTGTGTAATAATACATGTTAATAGTGTGTAATAATACATGTTAATAGTGTGTAATAATACATGCTAATAGTGTGTAATAATACATGCTAATAGTGTGTAATAATACATGCTAATAGTGTGTAATATTATAAAACATGTACATTACTAAGTGATATAATAATAAATATCTGATTAGTGATAAACGCTCTGATCTGATTGGAGGGAGATTGGTAATTAATCCTGTGGGCGTGGCCTCTTCTCTGCCTCCTGATTGGCTGCAGCAGAGATCCCGGGAACAGATAAAGACTCTGTCCCGGTCCGTCCCGGGTTATTATTCTCCCTCTCACTCACACACACACACACACTCTCACTCACACACACTCTGCGGAGGATGAGCAGCGGACGCCAGGACGAGGAGAAGCCCCGGATGAAGATGCATTCTGCGGGCTTTGGGTTAGAGAAAGCCCGGCTTCAGGGCTCCGGGTTCCGGATCACGGACCTGCTGGGCCTGGACCCGGAACTCCAGGGGGGGTCCCGGGGGCCCGCGGGCCACCTGGGGGACCCTCCCGGAGCAGCGGGGGGTCTCTCGGGGTTCTCCTTCCCGGGGGGGGGTCTCCCTCTCGGGCTCGGGTTCCTCTGCAGCCTCGCGGCCCAGCAGCCCCCCCCCTGCTTCCTGCCCGCACACCTGCTGCAGGCGCGCGCCGACCCGCACTACCTGCAGAGCCTCGAGGGCGCAAGGGACAACTACTCAGGTACAACACACACACACACACACACACACACACACACACACACACACACACACACACACACACACACACACACACACACACACACACACCTTCAGGAGAACATCAGAGTTCCTTTATCAAGATAGAGACGAGACATAAAGCATAAAGGCAGCACATCATATTTAAGTAACAGAAACATTCCTACATTTCTCCATCCTGCACACTGGTGTTCTGGACCGACAGATGTGAGAGTGTGTGTGAGAGTGTGTGTGAGAGTGTGTGTGAGAGTGTGTGTGAGAGTGTGTGTGAGAGTGTGTGTGAGAGTGTGTGTGAGTGTGTGTGTGTGTGTGTGTGTGCGTGCTCAGAAGATTTCTAACATCTTCTTCTTTGTTAAATTAAAATACGATATTCGTTTTGTTCGTTTTTGTTTCTATTTAATTGTTCGTTTGAATCTATTTGTATAGAGACACATTTATCTCGTTTTCCTGTGTTTCTGTTCCTCTGGTTTTGTTTCAGAAAATCTTCTTTTTGTCGCTTTAAGAAAATAATAATTATGAATTATTTTAATTTAATTCACGGTTTTATTTCCTCTCACCTGATCTTCATCTTCATCATCATCATCAGACACGAATAAAAACGAAACTGTGCTTTGAATGTGAATTTGAGTGTTTCCATGACATGCCATGCATAGCCCACTGCGCCACACGCCTCAGCTTCATTTACATTACAATCGATAAATAAATCAATTCATTCCTTGGGCAAGACACTTCACCTGAATTTGCTCCTGTGGGTATTGTCCACAGAACATGACCGTTACATGTATGTGTAATGTGTATCTGTAAAGCGCTTTGGGTCATGGAAAAAGCGCTATAATAAATATAAGGAATTATTATTATTATTATTATTCGTTTTTAAACTTTTCACAGGAAATAAAAGTCAATATTAAAAAACGAATATGATTTTTATTTTTTGTGTTTTCCTGATTTATTTAAATTCAAATTGAAATATAAATACATTATTCATTTAGTGTTAATTGATGAAAAAATATGCCTTTTATTGATTAACATTGAAATCTAAATTAATTCAGTCTTAAACATAAATATTAGTTCATTAACGAATAAACTGTATTTTTATAGTTTTTCGGCTTCAATCGGAAAATAAATGAATAAATTCCAGTTTTAAAAAAAAGGAAACTTAAAATATTAATTGATAAAAAAACGAATTAGACTCTTTTTTTTGTGTGTTTTTCAGCTTTATTTACATAGAAATCGAAATAAATGATTGAATCCTGTAAACATCAGTTTGTTGATATTTAAACTAAAGAATCTGTATTTTGTGTTTTCAGATGAAGATTGTCTTTCCGACAGAAACGACTCGAAGAACTCTGCGAACTCTCAGAAGAGGAAGAAGAGGAGACACAGGTGTGTGTGTGTGTGTGTGTGTGTGTGTGTGTGTGTGTGTGTGTGTGTGCGTGTGTGTGTGTGTGTGTGTGTGTGTGTGTGTGTGTGTGTGTGTGTGTGTGTGTGTGTGTGTGTGTGTGCGTGTGTGTGTGTGTGTGTGTGTGTGTGTGTGTGTGTGTGTGTGTGTGTGTGTGTGTGTGTGTGTGTGTGTGTGCGTGTGTGCGTGTGTGTGCGTGTGTGTGTGTGCGTGCATATTTTATTATTTCTCTTTTTTTAAATCTATTGTACTTCCTAACATATTTCATAATATTAAATTGTACTGCATTTATAAACATTACATTTGTATTGTTCCCTTAATGAGGTCATCTTTGTGTTTGCAGTTTAAATAATAATAATAATAATAATAATAATAATAATAATAATAATAATAATAATAATAATAATAATAATAATAATAATAATAATAATAATAATAATGAATAATAAAAAACATTAATAGTTATTTAAAAACGAAATGATAAAATTGTAATTTAATGTTTTTATTTCATATTAATATTTCTGCAGCTTTCATTTGAATAAATGTAATATGTGCTCAGGGCGGGGTCTCTTTGTGTTTCACTGTATTTATATATATTAAATGTGTGTGTGTGTGTGTGTGTGTGTGTGTGTGTGTGTGTGTGTGTGTGTGTGCAGGACGGTGTTCACCTCCCACCAGCTGGAGGAGCTAGAGAAAGCCTTCCACGAGGCGCATTACCCGGACGTTTACGCCCGAGAGATGCTGGCCATGAAGACGGAGCTGCCGGAGGACCGCATCCAGGTACACACACACACACACACACACACACACACACACACACACACACACACACACACACACACACACACACACACACACACACACACACACACACACACACACACACACACACACACACACACACACACACACACACCTGTCGCATCCAGGTAAAGATATATTTACTTAAAGGTAGGGTAGGTAAGTTTGAGAAACCAGCTCGAGATCGCTAGAATTTGAAAATACACAACCGGAGAAAACCTCCCACTTCCTCACAGAGCCCCTCCTCCAACACGAACGCGCACATGACCAATGAGGGCACGAGATAAGTTTGTGCACAGATGGAAGGCTGACAGGCAGGTAGGCCATCCAGTTATTTTAGCCGGGCCGGCTCAGATGATTGGTCGTGCTTGTTACAGTACTACAGCTTCCACAGATGATATTTATTTATGGATTTGTTGTCAAAGCACTTCAGATATTCATTGCTATCTGGATGTTAAGAGCATTCCATGGAATATAACAACAAGTGTATCTCCAGCCGGTTTCTCAAACTTACCTACCCTACCTTTAAGATAAGAAATACATATAATTTAAAAAAGAATACATTTAAATAATAAATACAAATACAATTTAATAAATTGTATTTGTATTTAATATAAAACAATCCAGATTTAAAATGTAAACAAAATAAAAAGGAAAATAAATACACAACAATAAATCAATAACTAAAGTAAACACAATACAAACATTGCATGGCTATAAAAGAGATAAGAGATAGACGGTATAAATCATGTTGATGTGGTTCTGACGGTTTTGCGGTTCTGTGGTTCTCCAGGTGTGGTTCCAGAACCGACGGGCGAAATGGCGAAAGAGAGAGAAGTGCTGGGGCCGCAGCAGCGTGATGGCGGAGTACGGCCTCTACGGGGCGATGGTGAGGCACTCCATCCCGCTGCCCGAGTCCATCCTCAACTCCGCCAAGAACGGCATGATGGGAAGCTGTGCTCCATGGCTGCTCGGTGAGCCACGTCAGTAACACACACACACACACACACACACACACACACACACACACACACACACACGCGCACACACACACACACACACACACACACACACACACACACACACACATACACACACACACACCTGTGCTCCATGGCTGCTCGGTGAGCCACGTCAGTAACACACACACACGCACACACACACACACACACACACACACACACACACACCTGTGCTCTATGGCTGCTCGGTGAGCCACGTCAGTAACACAGACCTGCACACACACACACCTGCACACACACACACACACACCTGCACACACACACACACACACACGCACACACACACACCTGCACACACACACACACACACACCTGCACACACACACACACCTGTGCTCCATGGCTGCTCAGTGAGCCACGTCAGTAACACAGACCTCCACACACACACACACACACACACCTGCACACACACATACACACACACACAGCTGCACACACACACACACACATACACACACACACACACACCTGCACACATACATACACACACACACACCTGCACACACACATACACACACATACACACACACACACACACACACACAAACACCTGCACACACACACACACACACCTGCACACACACACACACACACACACACACACACACACACACACACACACAAATACAGTTTGACTACATCTGGAAAACTCCACGCAAAGCAAATACTAATGCTATTGCTAATGCTATTGCTAATGCTAAACATTTTAATATATTTATTTTCAGCAACAACACTTGACCTGTTTAACGAAAAGTACAGTTTTACAAACACAGGAACAAGTAATACAAATATTAAAACATGTATATTTTAACCCATTAAGCTAATTTACACGTAATCATGTTTAATAATATGAAGTACAATATAAGTATTTGCTAACGTTTAACATGCTAACGTTAGCATAACATGTTATAGTATTGTGTAACATTGTGTAGCACTGTGTAGTATTGTGTAGTACTGTGTAGTATTGTGTAGTATTGTGTAGTACTGTGTAGTACTGTGTAGTACTGTGTAGTATTGTGTAGTACTGTGTAGTACTGTGTAGTATTGTGTAGTATTGTGTAGTACTGTGTAGTACTGTGTAGTACTGTGTAGTATTGTGTAGTATTGTGTAGTACTGTGTAGTACTGTGTAGTACTGTGTAGTAATGTGTAGTACTGTGTAGTACTGTGTAGTACTGTGTAGTATTGTGTAGTACTGTGTAGTACTGTGTAGTACTGTGTAGTATTGTGTAGTATTGTGTAGTACTGTGTAGTACTGTGTAGTATTGTGTAGTACTGTGTAGTATTGTGTAGTACTGTGTAGTACTGTGTAGTATTGTGTAGTACTGTGTAGTACTGTGTAGTACTGTGTAGTATTGTGTAGTATTGTGTAGTACTGTGTAGTACTGTGTAGTATTGTGTAGTACTGTGTAGTATTGTGTAGTACTGTGTAGTACTGTGTAGTATTGTGTAGTATTGTGTAGTACTGTGTAGTAACGTGACTCCCTCCTCTTCCTCACAGGAATGCACAAGAAGTCTGTTGAAATCACAAAGAAGTGTGCGAGCCCCCGCGAGGCCGAGTCCCCCCGAAACGAGACGTTCTGCGAGGAGCGACGAGGAGGAGGAGGAGGAGGAGGAGGAGGAGGAGGAGGCGAGGAGAAGAGGAAGGAAAAGGAGGAGGAGGAGGAGCTGAAGATGGAGGAAGAGGAAGAGGAGGAAGAGGAGGAAGCCATCGACCTATCCAGCTCCTCGAAGCAGACAGAGGAGGGGGGGAGGAACGCCTCGTCGCCACGGCAACAGAGCGGCCAATCAGACGATCGCAGCTGAAGATCGAGACTGACGCCATCCCATAATACTCCCTCTCAGATCAGACACTGCTCCAACAAGGACACAGAACTCAGCCAATGAGAGAGCAGCACTTACGTCTATGCAAGTTTTCACTTTTGGCGAGAAATGCTACTTTCGGCTAGCACGCTAAATGGCTAGCGTTCACATTATTTATTTATTTATGTATTTATATATTGTAGTCATAGTGATGGGCACACAAGCCTAACCCACGATACGCACCTTTGTTTGGAAAGCTAATAATACAGAAAAGAAGAATTCAAAAGAAAAAACTAAAACATGTTTAGCGGCAAATGCTAACATCGGCTAGCATGCTAATCAACTAGCTTGGATACTTGTTCTTCTTCCTGCCTGGTCTGAAAGATGAAGAATGATTCGGGCAAAGCAACATCACATCAAAGATGATGATCATCCACAAAGAGAATATTCAGAAAGGTAAAAGAAACTCCTGATGCTAATATTTTATTGTGCTAACGCCATTTTGGCATGCTAATACAAGTTAGCATAATAACATTTTACTATTTACGTTTTTCTCCTATTTGTTATTGTTATTTCGGCATGCTAATACATGTCAGCATACTAGCGTTAAAGCTTTTATATCTTCTTAATTTATTACATTTTTAATTGTATTAATATTTAATTATAATATTAACGTTTCACTGGTTAGCGCTATCAGGCTATCAGGCTATCAGGCTATCAGGCTCCTCCTCCGTGATGCTATCAGGCTCCTCCTCCGTGATGCTATCAGGCTCCTCCTCCGTGATGCTATCAGGCTATCAGGCTATCAGGCTCCTCCGTGAAGATGCATCAGTTTCTGCAGTTAGCGACCTCTCTGTGCTCCCAGGATGAAAACATGCTAACGTGCTAACATGCTAACTTGCTAACGTGCTAAGATGACCGGAGGACTGTCCGGGTGTAAATACTGTCTTTGTGTTTGTGTTTGTACTCAGAGTTTTATATCCGTGTTTAAAATAAGAAGCTATAAATGTGTTATTCCTGTTGTGTTTAAAGGCGCTGTGGAGGAATGTCATTTAAATATTTAAAAAGCTGTTATAATTATTCATATTATTAATGTCAGTGTGTTCACCAGGTGTGTTCACCAGGTGTGTTCACCAGGTGTGTACAGCAGGTGTGTTCACCAGGTGTGTTCACCAGGTGTGTTCACCAGGTGTGTACAGCAGGTGTGTACAGCAGGTGTGTACAGCAGGTGTGTTCACCAGGTGTGTTCACCAGGTGTGTTCACCAGGTGTGTACAGCAGGTGGTGTTCACCAGGTGTGTTCACCAGGTGTGTTCACCAGGTGTCGGTACAGCAGGTGTGTTCACCAGGTGTGTACAGCAGGTGTGTACAGCAGGTGTGTACAGCAGGTGTGTTCACCAGGTATGTTCACCAGGTGTGTACAGCAGGTGTGTACAGCAGGTGTGTACAGCAGCAGGGCGGTGAATAAAAACAAAGTATTTTTTGAATCATGATTTTTTTATTCAACAAAAACACTGCGAATATGAAATGACCACTTAAAGGTAGGGTAGGTAAGAACCATAGACTGTATATAAAGAACTGTATATATATAAAGAACTGTATATAAAGAACTGTATATATATAAAGAACTGTATATATATAAAGAACTGTATATATAAATGGACGTAGGGTCCGTGACGTCACCCATAGGATTCTGCAGAGTTGCCGAGAAGCCCTTAGTAGGCGGAGTCGGCCACTAACGGCTCGACAGTGACGTCAGAGTTCCACTCCCGCCTGCTCCAAATAGAGAGGCGAAGTCCCTCCCCTTCCGGTGGACCTCCATGGGACCTTATTTCGGAAAAATGATGTATTGAAGTCAATGGAGAGAGAAAGATTATCTTTCGATCCCGTTTGAATTGTGCCACGAATTACACATATGATGTTTGTCAATTTAAAAGATAATTTTGCAAGTCAAAAAAAAAAAAATGTGTTGTAAAACTGTGAAGTAACACATTTGTTTGTGTGAAACGCTCAATGAACTACATCTCTGGTCAACAACACACGTCACCAAGATGGCCGTCACTACTGTCTTGTCAACAAAACGATTGACTACCCTCACTATCACCACAATGAAACACGTCCTGAAGAATGTCATGCAAAGCTGCCTGCCTGCCTTCCTTTGGTTCTCTCTGAACTGCCTGGTCGTTTTAATGTTTAATGTCAACCATTTGTGCAGATAGCATGAAGTAGAGAAGATCGTCAATGCTAGCGTTAGCGTTAGCATTTCTCCCCCGGGCTTAAATTGTGTATTATAGAATGATCACACCAGTGTGACAGTACTCTTCAAAGGGTTCACGAAATATGACTACTACTCTTACTGTTTAACATTTTGGGTTACTTAATGTTACTTCATGTTAAGGCTAATACAAATGACACGGCTGTAATGCTAACTAACGTGCTAGCTACTAGCTAGCTTGATCAAGACACTCCTGGTCCTTTCATCAGACGGGAAGTGAAAGAACGAGCAAGACCCATTGCTGGTATGATAACAACCTGGTACTAAGCACACAGGCATCTTGTTAAAGTTATCTTATCTTAGCCAGCGCCATATAGATAGATTATATCTATATGGCGCTGATCTTAGCTATCTCTTTGTGGAGGAAAACAATTGTGACATCACTTACGCGACTCTGGGATTTGTAGTCTTTCTAGTTGCGTATTTTTCTTATATTTCAACAGTTTTACGACAAACTGTGACTTTTTTGACATGGAAATGATTTTTTAAGATTGACAAACATCATATGTGTAATTCATGGCACAATTCAAACGGGATCGAAAGATACGTTTTCTCTCTCCATTGACTTCAATACATTATTTTTCCGAAATAAGGTCCCATGGGGCGGAAGTAGATGGGCGTGACTTCGCCTCTCTATTCAGCAAAACTATAAATAATAATCTAAGTTGAGTTTTTAGCATAATACTTCAGAATCTTAAAATCCCTTAACGTTTGTATGCAATGTGCTAAATGCAACACTGGAATCAAGCAAATATTAATATGTTTGCATGACATTAGTTATTTATATTTTGCTATCACTTAATTATACGTTTAATACATTTAAGTTAAGCTAAGGTGCATGTGATGGTAGCTAGTTAGTGCTCTTACCTGTGAGGCCTCCTCCAAACAGCATTATAACCAGACTGTATCATTAAAACTATAAGTACCAGTTCTAGATCCTTGACTTTAGACAAACAATTCAAAAGACAAAATGTATTTAAAGACCAATCTTTATCTGAAGGTGCCTCTTAACCTGAGATATTAGTTATACAGTAATAGTATTGACAATCTAAAAAAACTGAGCAACTCAACAGTCAACTTTATATTTCTTATTGTCTAAAGCATTTATTATTTTCATTTTCCCCCTCTCATATTCAGTGTGGACGGATTGAGACAGCGTGGTGTCCAGAGAGCTGCAGAGACTTCAGGGAGAAACCTCCGTGTGATGGACGTCCAGTCTGTTGGTTTGGAGAGGACTGAGGGTCTTTCCTCTGTGAGGAGGATCAGACCTGATGGAGGAGCCCATGCATAGCTGATACCACCTGATCAGGCCTTGTCTGTCACTTTATTTGACTACATGTGTTTACTTATACATTTAATAGGTTTACACCTTCTGTCCATATGTGCTTTTTATTTAAAACATGTTTGATTAACTTTTGGTTCAGATTTCAATAAATTGAATTTGTATTTGCACTCCTTTTGTCCATTATTCTTACTGAAAATGTTAGATTACACATTCACATCCGACTGAAGATTGGCCCCATTTATTTGTGACGTTGCAAACTCTGTGGTACAAGGTACATGTTGTGAAGCTCATGAAGTGAGGCAAATAGAAATAATCAGCTGATGGAGTGTAGATGTGGAAATAGGTGCATTCGATCAGCTGACTTTGTTTTCACAATAAAAGTAGTTTCTTAGTGAATGTCCTGTCCAGAGGCCTGTACGACGAAGCCGGATGTTCTCTTAGCTGACTTCAGGGAAAACTCTGGGTTTCCGGTCCTACGACGCTGGTTCTCTTTTTAGCGGGCTAGATCTCCATGGTAACTTATGCTGAGCGAGTCTCCTCTCGAGTTCCCTCTCAAGTCCCTACCCAATGTCCTGGTCCGTTGGAGGTTCCGCTGGGGGTCCTGCCACCTCCATGTCCTGTCCCGTTGGGGGTCCAGCCGACACCTGTTTTGTCGGAGGTCCTGCCAACTCCATGTCCTGTCCCGTTGGGGGTCCCGCCGACTACTGTTCTGCCGGGGGTCCTGCCAACCCTATGTCCTGTGCCGTTGGGGGTCCAGCCGACACCTGTTTTGTCGGAGGTCCTGCCAACTCCATGTCCTGTCCCGTTGGGGGTCCCGCCGACTACTCTTCTGCCGGGGGTCCTGCCAACCCTATGTCCTATGCCGTTGGGGGTCCCGCCGACTACTGTTCTGCCGGGGGTCCTGCCAACCCTATGTCCTGTCCCGTTGGGGGTCCCGCCGACTACTCTTCTGCCGGGGGTCCTGCCAACCCTATGTCCTGTCCCGTTGGAGGTCCCGCCAACTACTGTTCTGCCGGGGGTCCTGCCAACCCTATGTCCTGTGCCGTTGGAGGTCCCGCCGACTAGGGTTCCGCTGAGGGTCCTGCCAACTCCATGTCCTGTTTCGTTGGGGGTTCCACCGGATTTCCTGCCAACACCTGATCCTGTCCTGTTGGGGGTCCCGCCGACACCTGCTCCGCCGGGTTTCCTACCAACACCATGTCCTGTCATGTTGGAGGTCCCGTCGACACCAGCTCTCGCTCCGTCTGGGGTCCCACTGACACCAGCCCATGTTCCGTCCAGAGTTCCGTCTACGCCTGTCCCGCCAGGGGTCCCACCAGCTCCTGCTTTCGATCCCAGTGCTCCGGCGATCCAGCTGACACTGGAGGGGTCCCATTGCGGCGTACGTCGTCCTCCTGAGTTCCCCAGCGGCCTTCGCCCTCGAGCCCGGCCTCCTGAGTTCCCCAGCCAGGGTCTTCGCCCTCGAGCCCGGCCCCCTGACTTTTCGAACTCTGCCTTGCCCCCGGGCCGTCCACCCGAGACCCCCTCCATGAACTCTGCCTTGCCCCCGGGCCGTCCACCCGAGACCCCCTCCATGAACTCTGCCTTGCCCCCGGGTCGTCCGCCCGAGACCACCTTCTGTTCCTCTGCCTTGCCTCTGGGCTGTCGACCCAGACGTCCAGAAGAATGTCATGCAAAGCTGCCTTCCTTCGATTCTCCCTGAACTGCCTGATCTTTTTAATGTTCAATGTTAACCATTTGTGCAGATAGCATGTGAAAAGATCGCCGATGCTAATGTAGCGTTAGCATGTCTCCCCCGGGGGCATCCGGGTTTAAACGGTGTATTATAGAATGATCACACCGGTGTGACAGTACTCTTCAAAGGGTTCACGAAATATGACTACTACTCTTACTGTTTAACACTTTGGTTAACTTCATGTTAAGGCTAATAAAAATGACAAGGCTGAGGCTGTAATGCTAACTAACGTGCTTGCTACTAGCTAGGTAGCTAACTTTGATCAAGCCACTCCTGGTCCTTTCATCAGACGGGAAGCGAAAGAACGAGCAAGACCCATTGCTGGTATAATAACAACCTGCTGGTACTAAGCACACAGGCATCTTGTTAAAGTGATCTGATCTTAGCTATCTCTATTTTAGTGGAGGAAAACAATTATGACATCAGTTATGACATCACTTACGCGGATTTGTAGTCTTTCTAGTTGCGTATTTTTCACAGTCTTATATTTCAACAGTTTTACGACAAACTGTGACTTTTTTGACATGGAAATTATTTTTTAAGATTGACAAACATCATATGTGTAATTCATGGCACAATTCAAACGGGATCGAAAGATACGTTTTCTCTCTCCATTGACTTCAATACATAATTTTTCCGAAATAAGGTCCCATGGGACGGAAGGAGAAGGGCGGGACTTCGCCTCTCTATAAGTTTGTGCACAAGATGGAAGGCTGACAGGCAGGTAGGCCATCCAGTTATCTGCCGCAGCCCGGCTCAGATGATTGGTCGTGCTTTTTACAGCGCTACGGCTTCCACAGAGGAAATATTTG